CGTTAGCAATTATTCACGATTCCCAATTCAGTAAATAAATCCCACATTCACTCATTAGTTCTTTATATTAACAAACATTACTCAAGGAACACTGTGTGTCCGTGAAACAATTGACTCTGAGATGTACTTTCTCTGCATAGCGCAGTTCCTCTGGGTTGGCTACAAATCACGTATAAACCTTTCTTCAAAACAGGTTTGTTCAGTTTGTGTTTTGACATTCTGCCTTTCAAGGAGAAAAGCTACCTACTTCAATTTAAATATAAAGCAAACACACTTTCACGGTTTTATTCTTTAAATAAATGCAAGCACTTTTTTGGATATTACTTGTGTGTTAAACTATTGTATATCTTCCAAGATGAGATATGTTGGACACAGTTTGTCCATTTTTGAACAGTATTGTTTCCGTCAATTACAGCAATTATTTATTTCCCCATTATCTCCCCAAGATCTCCATTATCTGTCCCCAATAATCTCCCTCTCAACTAACAATATTTTCCCAGTCCATAAATATTTCTACTTAGCCCCCATTATCTCTCCCCAGCTGTCCAGTCACCTCTTCCCAATCCCTCAGTTATCTCTACACCACTTGTATAGTTGAGACGTCAGTGCTTCCTAGGCAGCCTAACCATGCACAAATGGCGTCGGTTTAGCGAGGCAGAGGCAGGTACTGCTGACAGTTGCCTGGGGCTGATGGCGGCCCTAGATGGTGAAGTGCTGACAACTTGGCCACATTTCATGGGAAGCCAGAGGTTATGGAGTTGGGTTGTCCACTACATTTGTGGTTGTGAAGTTCTTTACACTCTCCAGTCGTCAATTGCCTCCCTTTAGGTTGTGGCTCAGATTCATTTGGGCTGTGTACCATATGTTTGATAGTCTTAGCATAGGGAACCCAAGGAGCTGCTCTGAGCCCCCTACACTATATGACAAATTTAAGAGCAAAATAGCCAAACTGAAAATACAGTTGGCTTGGTGAATTTGACTAATTTGTCTAGTTAGTTCTAAAATTTGAAATTAAAGGGTTATACGACCCAAAAAAAAGTGTTTTCATGAAACACTATCTTTGGTCAGATTTACTTTCATGGGTCTTCCGCCCTTAACATAATATAAAAAGAAATCATAAACTTACCTTCGATCTAACTCCGATTTCTCCCTGCAGTCTGATGTCCTAAAGTGACCAGTCCGAAGCTTCTGCATTGAAGCCTCAAACAATCGCCAGAATCAGAGGGGCACAGCAAGGGGAGCCATCTTGGCAACTTTGGTGCTAATTAGTTTGTAAACCGTTTAACCCCTTAAGGTAATTGTTTGCTGGTTTGAGAAAAACCCAGAATTCCTGGCAACATAACAACTTAATTGAGATTAAGCTGTTATAGTTTCCAGAATGTTCCTTTAATGACTATTTAGTTTGAATCCATTAAAGATATATAATAAGGATAATCAGCAAAATAGAAAACATACTAGCTCCTTGATTTTAGCTATCTTTCTTGAAAGAGGACATAACCGATACAGTACAAAATGAGGAACTAATGTTTCCATACACAGAGTCCAGTTACTGGAAGGTATACATCAGTTTTGTCATAACCTTTCAAAATGCTTTTTGGGGCGTTGAAATCCAATCTTTCGGAACTTGCTCTGTCACCATGATGGCTATTAAAGTGAAGCACTCTTATTCACCAAAGTTATTGTGCAAGACACATAATGAATTTTGTAAAAGGATGTAATTCAGGACCAAGTTTTTAACAATCACCTTCTTTCACTTTGACGAGGAAAGAAAATCTGCTTTACTGTAAGTGTTGGCTGAGTATCAGTTTTGCTAAATGAAGGAGAAAAGTTTCTTCAGCCCACGTTCAATTCATTGTTTACCATGCTGCTAATGCACTTAAAGAACGTTGGAAGAAAATGCCAGGGATATTTCATTACCATTATGTTTGTCTGCTTTTTTTTTTCCCCAATTAGAAAGTGTTCATATTTTCTGGAACGTTCCGTAAAAATTTAGACCCATATGGAAAATGGAGTGATGAAGAAATCTGGAGGGTCACCGAAGAGGTAAATATATTCTGAATTAGCCCGAAAGACGTAAGTGCTTGATGAACCTCAATTTAGGGATTACAAAATGATTGGTAGAAACAATGGCTTCCATTGTAAATATCACTGTAACATGATAAACAAATAACAAAGTATCTTCCTGATAAAGTGCAGTCATGAGATTTTTGCTGGATAACTACCCTTCAGTGTTTCTGTTTGATAAGTAGATAGTTTTCAATGCAGGTAAGATGTGCCTGGTTAAGTCTTAAGGTTTGTGTTCTTGACTGTGTCTCCAACTTGACCTGAAGCCCATTTTTGGTCTGGGTAGAATTGCGTGTTTTCCTTTGCTATCCTTGAATCCTCTCAAAATCCTGAATAGCTCTAACTGCATTCTGATTGACTGACATTTTCCTGGTGGTCAGTCCTAGAGAGAACAAAGTTTGAGTTGGATAGTCTCTAGAGAGCTAGGGTTAAAATTACATGTATGGGATTATTCACTCGAATAAAAATCAAAGGGATTTCAAAATTTATTAAAAATGTTAGGCAAACAAAAAATTTTTGGCCTGTTATCAATTAGGATAAAAGTGATGAAATTTTGCAAGAAGAAAATAACTAATTTTTGTCTTTACATTTATGCCTTACTTTGTACCAGGTTGGTTTAAAGTCAATAATCGAGCAGTTTCCAGGTCAGTTGGACTTTGTTCTTTTAGATGGTGGTTGTGTTCTAAGCCATGGACATAAACAACTCATGTGTTTGGCCAGATCTGTCCTCAGCAAAGCCAAAATTCTTCTTCTTGATGAACCTAGTGCTCATTTAGATCCAGTGTAAGTGTTCCAAATTAAGATATTTTGAACAATTTGGTTATGCATAAAAATAATAAACAATGGTGAGTTTTCTCAAGTAACAAGTATTGACATACAGTGGGTCTCTGTCGTGTGGATCAATCAGATTTAGATACTTGCAATGACCTAGTATCCAACAGATGTGACATATACCAACTAACATGTGTTGATATAAGCTTTTCATAATATGTCAATTTACAAAAACACAAATTTTAGTAGAGATGAAATGTACACAATATGGATCACCCAACCTTTGTCATGTTTGCTTGTGCTGTAGACACGGTCAGGAACTTAACAGGTCCCACAAAAGTTCATGTCCCACAAGTTGAGGAGCATGAGAATTTCTAGGATAAAACTCACCAGGGTTCAATGCTGTCAGGGATATGATTACATTTTTGAGTCACATTTTTAACATATGATCACACATTTCCAGTTTCGGGTATATCTTGGCTCAACTCATCAATTTGAGAAAAGACTAAATGTGGTCAATTTGTAAAACTTTCAAAAAATGAATTATGCACTAAACATTTCCATTTTACATTTCAGAACCTTTCAGATTATTAGAAAAACACTAAAACATGCTTTTGCCAACTGCACTGTAATACTATCAGAGCACAGACTGGAGGCCATGCTGGAATGTCAGTTCTTTTTGGTAAGTTCAGCTCTGCAAGCTTGGCTCATTATTTCTTATCATACATATTCTGCAAGAGTAGGGTTTAAGAGCATCTTGCTCGTAGTCCTATGTATCTATGTTTCCCAAATTGACTACCCCCTTAAAAAATCTTCATCTAAATCTTTAAAGCTTAAATTTATCAGTCAAATGAGATAGCTAACAAACATTCCAAAATATCTACGGCCCAATACTATGAAACACTGCACTACTCAGTTCAACTCCTCAGTTGCCAGAGTTGCGAATTCGTCATTAAGACTTCATTAGCCAGCCTGGAACAAACGTTCCAGGCTAGCGAATGTCAGCTCTGTACATCCTCCAGGACATCAGCAGAGGACAATCAGGCTGATGGAGAGCTTGGCCTCTGCACTGGAATGGAAGTGAGTTTTACACAATTTTTTTCTATATAGGGGTCCCCACAGGACAGTGTTTGTAGTGACCCTTTAATTTTATTTTTTCACACCTCACAAACACATATTTGATAAATATAAGGATAAGTAAACATAACACTAAAATTACTGGGAAGTGAACTTTAGTTTTTAGTAACATATCTTTAACTTGTTTCCTAGGTAATTGAAGAGAATACAGTTCGACAATATGACTCAATCCAGAAACTAATGAACGAGAAGAGCTTCTTCAAACAGGCCATAAGTCACTCGGATCGCTTGAAGCTATTCCCCCTGCATCGTCGAAACTCAAGCAAAAGGAGATCCAGACCTAAAATCACTGCCTTGCAGGAAGAAACAGAAGAAGAGGTTCAGGATACAAGGCTCTAAAATGTACAATTGACAATGTGCCTTGTTTATTTCTCTGTATATAATGGTCAGTTGCTGGAGGCGTCACTTAGCAGTTTGACCTGATTAGACATCTTCCAGATCTGAGTGCGTGCTGAATTCTATAGTCTGACAATCTATTTTTCCATCCATCCATCCAAGCTTTTAAGGAGAATGACCACTCATCTGCCTTTCAGTTTATTTCTCTTAGATCAAGAGAAGAAATTCTTTATTTTTTATTATTATTATTATTATTATATTATTTTTAATTTTGGAGATTTGTGCATTTTTATTTTAGGCTTTGGGGTAAATAGTGAACAACAAACATTATGAACCTACTTGTCTGCACAAAATGTGGGAGAAATATGGAGAAGGTAATAGATACAAATGCAGGAATAATCGTAGCTATATAAATGTAATATATAGATTATATTCAATGGCAAGAAAAAGAAAATCACCGACACAATGTATCCATTCAGTCAGTACATCTCAACTAAAAATCTACCCCTTAATGTTCTTCTATTCCGTTGACATAGATTTACAGAGGTAACACATAACAGAAACGTTAATTATTGTGAATATTATTATTATATTTATAAATATTATTTTTTTGTAAATGTTTTTTTTATTTTGCACTGAATATACTTGCTAGCTTGCATTTTATTTCCTGAAGACGGTAGTGGATTTTTTTTTTTTTTTTTATTATTTAATTTTGATTTGTTTTGTTTGTCATTTTTATTTCACTCACTTTTTACCAGTTACACCAATGTTTCTATAGGACCTATATGAAGTTATCAATTATTTTTAAACTATAAATACTGCCAGTATGTTTTATAATATAGTATTATCTTTTTTAAAACGACATTTTAAATAATGGTCTTTTAATTTCAGATTTAGTTTCCCATATAATTTCACAAGAAATAAGGGCTTATAGAAATGTTTGCATGTGATTTAAACTGTCCTGTATAATAATCCCTTGTTTATCGGTAAGCCTACTTAGACATCAGTGTCTCCGCTTTACATTTCTTACAGATGTGCACAATCCTTTCTTAATATACTCTTGTAACGTTTTATCCCCTGCTACGCTTACATAGAATGCAACATAGTATTTATTTTATTAACATTGCAGACTAAACTGCAAAATCACTTTAATAACATTAAGCCTTCGATAGCTTTGAAAATCAAAAAATGCACATTTCCTTATAACTGGAAACAATAGATTAGTATTTATTTGTAAATGTGGCGGTTTTATATGTCCAGAACGCTACAGCGAACAGGCGCTGGTTCAGTAAGGCACCAGACCTTGAATTATGGCCTTTCACACTCTACTGTGATCAAACGGGTATTTTTGCAAATTTGGAACAATTAGGGTTCATAGAGATTTTACATTACTGTGAATTAAATCCATCTCATAGAGGCAGTATTTGCACCAACACTTGCAATTCTATTCACTACAATGAGTAGTAGAGCTCTGGGCTACTTATTTTGTCAGGTGACGTGGTGCCTTCCAAGACCATGAAACGGTCTACGTTTAGTATAACATAGAGCACTAAAAAAAGAGTAGATGTCAATAATATTTGTGTGTGATTTATGAATTTACAAACAGAGTTTTTCATTAAAGAAGGAATTCAAAGTGATTTCAAGTGAACGGCAAATTTTGGGGCAAAATAGCTGAACTGAGTAGAGATTTTTTTCAGTTGAGCTTTTTTTTATTAAAATGTAAATGTAATTTGAATTCCTGACAATTCACACTTCAGTGAAAAAAGCAGGCAGTCATAAGATATAGTACGATATAGCACGATGTTGTCGCTCTATCAACTAACCAGAGTGTCATGTAGAAGTCCAGAATTTAGTCATTAATTATTGGAAAGATACACTAGAATAATATATTGCTGCAATTTTATAGGTTTTTTTATTTTTTTTTTCTAGACGATAGTATTTATTTTTAATATTTTTTAAGATGGCCTTGAATATAATTGTTTTTAATGATGAATGAGTGAAGTACACTACGCAGGACAAAAAAAAACTGTGTATATCGAAATGTATTGTATATAAAATGCTATGATTGTTTCTGAACAATATGATTTATTTAAATTGAAATGGATCTCTGAAATATATCTTGGAGATACTTTATTATTTTCAGTGCCTTATTTTATACATGAGAATCAAAACACAGATTAAGCATTATGTTGTTTGATTTTAATTTTTATTATGAATGCTGGTATACTGCCATATTGCGGACAAATGTACTTGTGATCTCGTTGGGAGAATTACATAGTAGTAGGTAGTTTTTGTTGTTATACTGCCTTTCAGAAATGTTTGTTGAGAGTGTATTTATTGTTATATCAAAGCATTAAACGTTTGTTCAATTCTTGAAATTCTCAATTTTCTTGTTGCAGTACAGAAAGTTATATTGGTTTGATGTATTGAGATTGATAAGCGTCTACAGACTATATTAACATTGAACTATAAACATGTATTGCTAGGGTTTCATCTATAATGGGATTTTAAAAGACTTAAACAGGAAATTGTGAAATTTGAACACAAAGTACACGAAATGGAAAAATTCCACAGTAACGTTATTTTTTTCATGCTTCTTTGGCCGAAATATTGAAACAAATTTTTAAACTTTCCACAGATCCCTGTTAAATGGACAACTCCATAGGTGTGAACATATTCTACAATTTTACACAGTTTCATACCTCCCAACATTGCAATTGGGCAAAGAGTGACACTTTCTTACAAGGGGGTAAATAAGGGTATGGCCGGGGGCGGGCGATTCTGATAAACCTTAGGTGACTTACTAATAACAAATATGTAACTAAAATGTCACTTAGATTAAGAACAATTAGTCTTATATACACAGACTGTTTTCTAAACACATTTATTGTAGTTTAAAGACACATTACTTGGAGTATTAATGCTGTGGAGCTCCGTTATACACCAACAATATGAAGATACTAAAAGACAGACATTATGATAGAAAAAAAAAGAGAGAGAGATATTTGGGTTTAAATAGGGACTGTTCCTTCTACATAGGGACACTTTGAAGGTATGTGAAATATTTCATGCCACAATATGTATGGAAAAGAAACGGTAATGTTATGAAATATTGTGTCTCATGTGTTATAGATTTGTTACCTTTTATACCACTGTATCCCATTTTTCCACTGTAACTTTCTGTGCACGCAGTTTGTAATATAGTCATTTATTGTTTCTGACCAATATTTCATGTAGACTGTTATTAATATTTTGGGTGATTGAATTTGGTTACTAAACTTTTCAATAGTATAGAACACATGGCTACTCTAACCCCCCTCTCCCTCTCCCTTTCTCCTCCCCAGTTGTAAATACCTTCATATGACTGTTCCATCTTATTCTCTGTTATTCAGGCCTCACATCACACTGAACTCAGTGAAAGACTGCATTTTTCTCCCCACTCCACGATGTAAATTTGCGGTTTCTACTAACCTGCATTGGTTCACATTGCTGTGTGAAAATGATAGAACTACTGCACCTAGACCACTTCATTGGGATGAAGTGTTCTGGGTGGCTTTAGTGATCTTTGTAAATGGAGAATGCCTTATTCACAGGCTTGGGCTGGAACTTTTAGCTTTATTACTGCTACAAACCGTAATTTACTAACCTTTACATCCAAATTGCTAAATTCACACAATTGGTTTGGTTTTAATAAAAGCACACAGAATACAATATCATGATCAAAGTAAAGCCAGATTTACATCACTTATAGTCTTTGTGTATAGATTGAAATGCCCTAAATAAAGCAGCGGTGTTCACAAGTCAAGTAAAAATAATTCTTGGTGAATTACGTTAATTGTTCTCAGGATTCCGAATAATGACCGGTCAGTAACTCAATGGGTCACCTAACACACGGCCATACAGTCGAGTCACAGATCACAATGCCAAGGTGATCTCATCGTTTCGTGTCTAAAAAAGGATTAGTCGAATCCAACATAGAGAGTCATTTTAATGTATTGCATTATACAGATAATATATTCAGATATGCAGAAACAGTCCATTAAAATAGATATCCTCATGTGTGACCCCAGAATTTTCATTTAAGAATTTAGGAGCAATTGAGGAAGCATCATTGTAAACATGAAACGCATCTAGCTTTCCTTTAAATTTTAGTTCTCTCCTTAATGAACTTTTGAAAAATGAACATGCATCGCTGGTGTCAGCACAGTCCAGATGGAGTGAGCACACTTTGTATATATTCTTTATTAAATCTGTTTTTAGAGTAGAGGCACAGATGTTTTTTTTTTCTTAGACCTTATTTTGGGGCTTGACCACTTATGATACTATTCTTACTTACTATTGGCATCCAGACCACTTCATCTAATTGAAGTGGTCTTGGTTCAGTGTCCCTGTCCCGTTAACCCTGCAATGTATCAGAGAAGCCTCCAGTGGGTGTCTACCAGCCATGGAGTTAAACGCTTTGCATGAGGATGTCCAATGACTTCAACATTTACATAGGAATGCATTGATTCAATGTAAGGTAGTAAAAGGGTAGCAGCACCATTTAGTTGTTCTTAGGTCCGAGTAACAGTCAGTGGGTATGTAAAATAAACAGACAGGAAACACAATATAGTGTAGTATTTTCTTGTGATCAGTTCAGGGAATATAAAAATATAAACGCACTTACAATTTTCGTGAGCTTCAAATTAGCTCCAAGTATTAGCGCCTGGGTGGTATGATCCCCGCCTGTGGATATACTGGTCCTGTAGAATATTTTGTGGATGGTGTGTCTTGATGTGATCACCAGTAGGGTTATGTAAGGTTCCAAGCTTGATAATAGCAGTTAACCGATTATATAAAAGAATGGAACAGAGAATAGTGCTCACTGACAAAAGCAGTATTTTAGAAATAATAAAAAGGAGAAGTACACACGGAAGGAGAGCAAATGTAGGCGTAGTTGGTATAATCCTCCCCACCAAGGATGTAAAAGGTAGAGTCCTGTGGATAAAATCATCTTTAAAAACAGTGAGAAGGGTCTAAGGTAAGTAAAAAGTACACACTTATTTATTAGAAATAAAAGTAAAATAAACACGTTTTGCCAAAACAACAGGCTTTCTCAAAAGTGTTTTGCATGCGACGCTGCAGCACATGTGCTTTAGGTCCTCAGATCTCGCTAACATAGGAGGAAGCTAAGAACTATCAAGCGCTAAGGGACCTTGGCGCTGGAATCAGGTAATTGAAAAAAAGTTTTTTTATCCTTTATTCGCTGGAGGGAGCAGGGGCAGAGGGACAGTGTTGTATTAGAAATTCAGCTTTTTATCAGTGTTCCTTTAAGAGAAAGCATTAGCTCATGGTGGAATTAAGTCATAGCAAAGGTGTGAGAAACGTTTTGGCTCCCAATGCACAGAATCTTGGAGGGGTTAATAACCACTGAGTGTATTTAGGCTATGATTTTAACTAATATTCACTAAAATAATTAGTACATTTGCTAATAACTAATAAAACAAATATACAAATATACATATTTAACTTTTGCCATAACATTAAATGGACACTATAGAATTGAGCAATGAGACTGCAGGGGCATGATCTATACACCAAAACTGCTTCATTAGGCTAGCTGGTCTGGTGCCTGTAGTGTCCCTTTAATTGAAATTCTTTCAAAATTACATTTCAGAGAGAGTAAATAGTGCAGCAAGGGCAAGTCAAGAGTGGCAGTGTAGGAGAAAGGATATTCACAAGATGCCAGATAGACTTAATGGACCGTACTTTCTAGTCTTTGTGAACCAAAACATGCTGACATTATGGCCCTATTCTAACCTGAATTAAGCCATTAAAGAAATATCATAGCGTTAGGAATACAAATGTATTCCTAACACTATATTATATTATTGGGCCCTCCATAAACAGAAAAAATCTTTGCAGGACCAAACCCAGGAAATCCCTATCGGAGTGACATCCATTAGAGATGATGTAAACACGGTCGTTTCTCAAGAAACTGAGGCTGCAGGAACGGTCTCTATGGCCCACAAACACTACATTGAGCTCTAGTAGTTCTGTGGCCTACACTGTCATTGTTAACAACGGCAAATTTATTTTTATTAAAAGCTACTCTATTATATTAAATTTGCACTAATCCTGAAGGAAGTGGCAACCAAAATATATTTGTTTTAAAAAAGTAATACTTTTTCCTTTAAATGTTATACAAAGGTAAGACTGTGGACACTGAGACATCACACTTTGAAAGCAATGCTCTTTGTAAAACAGCTTTCGTAACATGCAAAATTTATACGGCACTAACCTTCCCAGGAACAAACAAACTATATCGTACCCTATGACTATCAAATAAAATGACTGTTTCACACCTTCACACTGAAAAGAAACGAGTTCATGCCAAGCGGAATGACTCAACTTTCAATTAAAGAAAGCCACAATACTGCGAATGACGTGATATTCAAATTACATAAAGTTCTAAAAATAGTTTTGCATACTCTGCTTTCCTCTTGTAAAGCCCAAATACCATTTTTCGTGGGCTATGTTGAAACATAAAATGTCCATTCTTGCCAAATGCTTAGAATTTTCCAGTTTGGCAAGGATTAATAATTCAAAGTACAAAGCACTTACTTACAGGTGTCTGTTACGAGCCTTGCACAATGAATACAAGATATACAAAGCATCAACAATATAAGATGGATTCTTGCATCCTACGTAACTGCCAACAGCAAGCTACAGAACTAATAGTCAAATATTCTCTAGCTCAGGGCTCAAACTTCCCCAGCCTGGCAAGTAGATTTGGAAATGTACAACATTAATTAGTGATGTCCCGAACGGTTCGCTGAACGGTTCGCCGCGGACTCATCATTGAGTAAACTTTGACCCTGTACCTCACAGTCAGCAGACACATTCCAGCCAATCAGCAGCAGACCCCCCCTACCAGACCCTTCCACCTCATGGACAGCATCCATTTTGAAGCTGCATTCTTAGTGAGCTGTCCAGGAGGTGGGAGGGTCTGGGAGGGAGGGTCAGCTGCTGATTGGCTGGAATGTGTCTGCTGAATGTGAGGTACAGGGTCAAAGTTCTATAAGCGATGAATACATGACATTACCCCCCACCTGAAGAACGCCCACCGGGCGGACAGGACCAGGCTTGAGAGGAAATTTAGCGTGAAAAGCGCGGATCTTACGGCCCGCATGCAGGTCAGGAGCCAAAACCCAAGAACGATCAGCAGGACCGTAACCTTTCCAAACAACCAAGTAATGTAAAGTCCCCCGAGAAAACCTAGAATCCACGATAGAAGATACCTCATACTCTTCCTGACCACCCACCACCACCGGAGGGGGAGGAACACAAGGAACAGTATATCTATTGCAGACAAGATGTTTGAGTAAGGACACATGAAAAGTGTTGGGAATCCATAAAGATGCAGCAAGAGCCAGAGAGTAAGACACTGGATTGATCCTACGAAGCACTCT